TGTCGACCTTTGGCTTCACTTCGATCTTCGGTCTCGCCAACAAATGCGTGTCAATCGCTTCGGTTACGTATCCGGACGACAGACTTAAAGTTACTTGGACCTTGCTAAGTTCGTCGAGAGCGTACTTAATTCGGTTACTACTTAAGTCGCTGTTCTCGCTGCGTAGGTCTCGCTGGATAACCTTCTCGCTCGCCACTGCCGCTGCCGCTCGGTCCGCTTTTGACTTTCTCAATCGCCGCAGTCGCTTACTTCTTTGTCGGCAGCGACTCTTCACACGCACCAAATGTCCCTTTCCCAACGGTCGACTCTGCCCCTACCGACCCTGATGCCGGATACTAAGGAGAGTACTGTCAAGGAAAAAGAAACACTTAGGCGATCGCTAACTCGACACTAGTCGCTATGAAAGGTCGCCACTGAACCTTTGCCTGAACTAGATTGAGTAACCTTACAACCTCCGAGCTATGCCCCTCTGTGTAAGTCCTTGCTGCCGAACTGAACCAAGAAGTGCTACCAAATGTAACGGTAGCGAGCTTCACAGAGTAAATTGGAAAGTGATTAGATTGTCGTCTTAAACTACTAACTACGAAAATGTATACTATACTAAACTACATGAAGTAAATGTTTTTTTTCTCTACGGCTTCTTCAACGGCCTTGCCCACTAATGGTGCGACAATATTTAGCTTGTTCGACAGTCTTGCCATCGTTCTTATTAACGATGCGATAAGCTGTATTCTTGGTCGGCAACCTTGCTATCACTACACAACCCCTCGACTCACGTCAGCGCACTAGAAGGCTCTTGTGGAGTGGGCAAAGTCTCACGTTGACCTTGGTCTCGGCTGGAACCAAGTTGTTTTTTCCGAAGTTCAATCTGGATGGCCTCCAGTACTACTGGCTTGATCTCCGTAAGGACGAGCAGACGTTTTGAGCCGTCAAAATGGTGGGGGCGGCGTGATGATCTGGGCTGGATTTTCAAGTCAAGGTCGGACGGAAGTTGCCGTCCTCTAAGGCCGCCAAGACTCCTATGCCTACTGCGACATGGTGGCAAATTTTCTGCTGCCCTTCGTGCATGCCCATCACTCTGATGGGTTTGTATTTCAACAAGAGAATGCCAGCATTCACGCCAGCCAAGAAACCAGGGCGTTTTTGGCGCAACAAAATGTTCCTCTTTTGAGCTGGCCTGCGCTATCGCCTGACCTAAACCCCATCGAAAATGTTTGGGGATGCCTGGCCCGCAAAGTTTATGCCAATGGAAGGCAGTTTGGCTCCGTTCAAGAGCTCCAGTCTGAGATTTTACGTCAGTGGGATGCCATTGACCAAGAGCTCTTCCACAAGCTTATTACATCCATGAAATCGCGTTGTATCGATGTTCTGCAAGGCAAGGGTCGTGTACGAAGTATTAGTGTGTAAAACGATTAACATCGCATTATTTTTTGGTGTTTTAGTTCGCTTATAACTTTTGTACCTTTCACTTATGGCCAGAAATAATTGTACTCATTTTACTATTTTACAGATTTTTCTGCTTTGATGCCGAGTTACCATGGTCATTTGGTGCCAAAACATTCGTCTTTTCATTGCTATTCACCTGCTACAAATGCTATTGAGGTTTGAGGTACCAGTCAAAATGTTCGAGCAAAAAAGTGTTGTACCTTTCACTTATGGCCAGCACTGTATGCAAGTGTATGTAGCTCCACTTCTACGCCAACCAACATAACCTAGACACGATTGAACCTCTGAATCTGTCCAAGATCGACGCCACCACAACTAATACCACATGAATCACCTCCATATCAACCACGGATATGCCTAAGCCCTCCTTGACGACATCAGTCCTCACCACGACTTCTACGCCAGCCAATAAGCTGGCCGCATACACAACTGACAGTGAGCGTGTGCAAGCGTAGACGCCAACACAAGTATCACCACATCAACTACGGCAACGACCAAGTCATTCTCGATATACAGCAGGCCCAACCTCCACGTCACGCCAACCAACAAGTTGGCTCCATACACGTCTGAACCCCTGGTCCATCCAAGAGACGGCACCAAGACCATCTGCCAACATATCAAAACCGCCGTGCTCGAGCCGTCCTCGACGACTGCAGACCCCACCACGCCGGCTTCAAACACAAACCAACCGATGCAAGCGCCAGCACCAGCCTACAGCTCAATCCACACATATTTGTTCAATGCCGTGTATTTCATCACTACCAAACAAATGTCTCCTTGTCTTCACCTCACTCTACCTGCGCACATACCGACTATCACTCACTGTGCGATAGTTCTTTAATGCCATCACCTCGCCTTGTACCGTACTGTCTTATCATGCCCCTGATCAATTTCATCCAATGCGCACTTTTGCGGTGGCGTTTCAAAATAAAAAATAGAAAAAAGAGGCTAACGTAGATGGCCAGTTTATGGTGCACGGGACAGTTTAAGGTGTACTCAAATTGGCCAATGGAATTGCTTGAGTTTTGGAGTAGCCAATCGAATCACTAGAAAAATGAAATCACTAAAATATAAGCAAAAGCAGCATACATATTTGACCATGTGGATCGTCTTATTTTGAAGCAGAGGCTGCATCATCGGCTTGTGGGGTACACATATTTTTCAAGGTTCAAAGTCTGAAACGGAGTTCTCGTTTTATGCACATGCGCCATGGGATAAATCCCGCATTTATTCAAGTCAACGACGATGCAACCATCAAGTTAGCGACTCACTTCCTGCATCGAACAAAGGCCAGTTGTGTACCGGGATGCAAGTAGTCCCCCCAAGCTTTGGAAAGCCGTTCAATTTGTTGGTGCTACAAAACAAGCAAGCTGAATACAAGTGTTCGAACGTGTAGTTGCGTCGAATGGATTTTGTAGTGTTACCGACACTAGCTAGACGCTGAACCTCGACACGGAGATACATGTACCCTGGCCACGTTTAAATTTGAGCAAGGCAATCTTGGTGCATGTTTTCACAAAACGCGACGGCCTTCTTGACGCTCATCATGGCCGTGTCTCGGCCGTTGATTTCCACGAGGAGGTCGCCGATCTGCACGTGCCGCAGCATGGATCCCGACACAGGAGAACGACTATGGGTTACACGCCGTTGGTATGGCGGCACTCGCGCAGCTGGACGCCGATGCTGCCGTTCTCCTTCCACTTGACCAGTACTAGTACACGGCGCAGTCGGGGGTGTCGGTCTTGGACACGCCCTGGCTCTTGAGACGACCCCACGCATTCACCTTCGTTATGATGCTGTTGGGTTCCAAGAGAGCAATCGTTTGATTTTAGAGCTCGTTCAGATGCGGCTGTCGGGGCCCATTGGTGTAGTTGTTGCGTTTTGACTCGCCCCCGCCAACGCCCTAACGTTAGGATGTAAACTCATACGGATATGTATACCAATGCTTCAGCTGTCACCGCCTGCATCATGGTACAACACAACCGGCCATCGTTCGAGGCAGGACGTGAGTGGCAAACTTGATGGATGCGTCGTCATAGTTGTCAGGGCAAAGTTGAACAAATGCGGCAGTTCGTCGGGATAACGATTATCTGGACATTATGTTCTTGCCATAAAACGTGCGTGAGATATATTTAAATACGTATATTTGAATATGTATTAACCACTGTAAAACAGTAAAACACTACAACAAAGATGTGGCTAAAACGAACACTCCATTTCAGGGTTGGACCTCGAACTACATTGCAGATGATGAACCAGCGTTATTAATTCATGATTACTACCTAGTTCTCCAATATCTACCCGCTACAACTCTGATGCAAGGTCTGTATTCTGTTACATCCCACCGCATATTGGCATTTAGAGTCGTCATTCTTACTTCGCCAGGCGTGGTGCGTCGCACCGCCAACTAGAATGAAGTGTCAGCTTGGGGTTATCGCATTGAGCAAATCGAAAGAAGCAGCGGTTGATGTAGCTGACACCATCCGAGCCGCACACATAGTCTAGCTCGCGGGTACATACACGAGGACCGGCGCATTCTTCCTTCGTCACGCATTTCCCACCGGCATGTAAGGTCAGCTTGGGGTTATCGCATTGAGCAAATCGAAAGAAGCAGGGGTTGGTGTAGCTGACGCCATCTGAGCCGCATACGAAGTCTAGCTCGCGGGTACATACACGAGGACCAGCGCATTCTACCTGCTTCAGGTGTGTTGCATCGCACTGCCCACGGGCATGAAGGGTCAGGCTGGGTTTTTTGCATTGAGCAAATCGAAAGAGACAGGGGTTGCTGTAGGTGACGCCATCCGAACCGCATATGGGGTTGAACTCGCGGCTACAAGTACCACCAGCACGAGCGCATTCTTCGATTGTCGGGCGCTGGCCTGACGCAGGTATCAAGAAGGCAAGGACGACAGTGAGTAGCACAAGCATGGTCGCTGTTGGAGGGGGCTGGGGGTAGAA